TTATTATTATTATTATTATTATTATTATTATTATTATTATTATTATTATTATTATTATTATTATTATTATTATTAATGCGTTGTTTTTTACCCCGCGCAAATTCTTGTTTAGTTGATATAGCAACCCAATTATATTTTTTAGATTTCTGAATTTGGCTATTCACAGGAGGCACGAGAGCTGCGAGTTCCTTTGCAATCCTTCGATATTCTTCCTTTACATAATTAGGTTCGCTCTTCCATTTTGCAGAAACAAGAGAAGAAATTTTCTTCATTTCAAAATAATGACCTTGAGCATTTAACTCTTTAACAAAAGCTTTACGATATATAATAAAGCTATTTGGTGGTTTTGAAGAAACACCAGCCATTTTCGGTTTTGGTAGTAACTCGTCCATATTGATATTCGGCGGGAATGTAATTTTCAAATTTTCTATGACTTTTCCATCCATATTTATCGATGTTTCCTTAGTTGTAGCTTCTTTCAGTATATTTTCTTCATCTTCTTCTTCACTCAACGGGGAAGATTCTAGAAAAGAATGGGGTTGAACATGTCTGAAATTGGTATTTTTATTATTCATCCTAAAATTAATTAATATACTTAGGATACAAGTTTCTTTATTACAGATATCAGCTCGCTTTATACAACTTTGAAATCTGCAAGTACATTATTTTGTACATTTTTATGTTAAAGCATGCACAAAGATCATTCAATTGCAGAAGAGTGGCGTCAGGGTTAGGATTTATCGTGATTTAAAGGATTCTTACAATTCTCGAAAAAAGTCATCTGATGAGTAACTTCTTGTTGTACTAAAAGCAAAAATGGTATTAGTGCTTCAAAAGCCAATATATGATAATAGAACTGGGCATATGGCACTTATAATGGAAATCATAATTCAAATAGAGTTACCAATGTAATATTCAACTGTGATCATGCATATTTTTGTTCGATAAGAATTGTCCTTCCCAAAATTTTGATCGAAAAAGTATATCAGATATGGCGGGACTAACTAAATTTGCATTATATAAATCCGCCTGTATCAATGGGTCAATGTAACGATAATGTATAATGTACATGTACATAGATACATTCTATCATCGTGACACATCAAAATTTTTCTCTACATCATTTCAATAAAAGCTTCAAATAGAATTAAGCGATCATTGGAAATAACACCACTAATGTAATTGCCAAATTGAGCGTTTTAAAATAGAATAAATACATACATACATCATAAATATGTAAGATGCATCCGTACATACATAATATTACGGAGAGGTGATTTTCAAAGTACGCCTAAAATTGCAGCTTGTATTAGCTCTTTATCATGTCGTCGTCGTTATGTTATGACACTTCTCTTTGTTTATTATGTATCACACTGCTATTATTATTATCATTACATTAGAACGAAGTTTATGTATTAAGTAGCGAGTGGCAATAATAAAGCAAAATATCAAAAACAATAGCTTTTTTTTTCTTGATTTTTATAATGGTGTGGTGGCGTGTGAGACAAGATAAAGGGCGCAATGCAATTAGTTGACGGGATTATTCGAGTAAAAATGTAGTGAAGTTTCTGTTTTCTGTAATACCGAATATTAATAGAATGTTCGTTACATCTCGAGAAAATAAAAAATCTGTATGTATGTTCTCCTCGGAACACACACATATCTCTTGTAAAATGTAACACAACTTTAATTGAGAACTTTAATGGATGATATTTTCCGTTCATGAAACGCAGCATCATTTTTTTATCTACCGTCCGGATCTAATTAATAATTTCTGATCAATGCAGGCATCGAAAATGCGCATTCGGATCTGATAAAGTAATCGTTCATTCTATCTCTAGGACGAATAAATATTCCGAGAAAATTTATTTTACGGACAAATGTGCTTGTTTCAGGTGGCTGTTTGTCGATTTATAATTATTGTATGCGCGTCTTGACAAAGGCTTTAAATGTTAAGGCTAATTATTATTTTTGTCGGCTAAAGTCTTAACCTTATTTGATAATTTTTGTGTAAGCACAATGGATCTATTTGGATCTTATTTATGATGTTAAAGAGATAGTTTGTAACAAAAAGCCTATTTTTGAGCATACATAAACTTTGAAAGTAGCAAAGATCTACCACAAGTCGCGTATGATAACTTCAACCATTTTATTATTAATGAAAAAACGGTATATAAAATATAGTATGATAAAAAAATGCAACTTTCAAGCACACTTTCCTTAAATTTTGATTGTTTGATACTATATGCTAAATAAGTCAATTAATCTTTTTGTGATTCAAAATTAGTAATTTTGTTTTTCAAAAAAAAGAGGCTCCGTATTACGATAATGACTTATTTTTTCAAAGGCACATTTATTGGTATTTAAATTATTTGTTATTCAAAAAATTTATCGTTATAGTTACGGATTCCTTATTCATTAGATACAAGATTACGATTTATTCGTGCATGCCACTTTAATGGAATTGAATCCCAAACTATTTTGCTAAAATATAAGAATTTGGCCAACTCACAAATTGATTTTGCAAGTAGTCATAATTTCAAATGTTTTCATTTGCGTACTAAATTTGTAAGAATGGTTTGTTCGATTTTTTACTAACGTTCGACTTGTTAAACCGACTTTCAGAACCGAGCTCGAATAGTTCTATTGTCTCATCCGTACAATAATTCATATGATTACTCCAATGAGTGAAGCATAGTAATTTAACTGTGAAGGCAAATCACATCGAGAGTGTGGAATCCTTTTTGCATTTTTTTGTGCAAAAAATTTTGTAACTTACGAATTTATTCGATGCATCGATTCGATCTGAACATATATACAAATAATTTCCCGTTTAGAGAACGGTTAAAGCGTAGTCCATCATGCCTTAAATTTTAAGAGTTTACTATTAATGATTTTTATGATTTATAAGGTCTGGGTAAGGGTAACGGTTAGGAAGGGAACAAGATTATATGTAAACTTGCTGTCCCGACAATTTTAATTAGTATTCCAAGACAGATTTGGGCATTGGTTTTCGAGTAATATCCATTTTTCATATCTTGTCGGATTTGTTTTGGGTTGATCAAAAAATTTGCGCACCCTTATTGGACATGGATCACATGACGGACTACGCTTTAATTTCTAGAAATCGGAGTTCGGGTCGGTCCAAAAAAAACACGACGGTTGACCTGGGTAGGAATTTCACCGATCAAAATATGCGTACACGTCAATACAACTTAAAATTCTTCAACTTGTTTTTTTGTCATGCAGAACTTGAAATTAATTTTAATGCCTAAAAAGCGATCATTTTCGAATAAATCACAACCGATGTGTTCGTGAATTCTTCCCAAACAAATAAAATATAAATTTGATTAAGGTAAAAAAATTTAAAAGATCATTAGTACAGTTGTTGATTTACCCTATCGTTATGTGAATTTTCTAAAACTTGTCATAATTATATTGTATTCATTTATCTGTATAAAAATTATCGTTACGAATGATCAAATCATATGATACCTGTAAAATATATTCTTACGTGGTGGGTATATTGCGAATTGGTAATGTAGATAAAATAGAAAGTATTGAGATATGTAAATGAAATCGAAAAAAAAATAAAAAAAGCGATGCGACGAACCTAAAAGCGAATTAATTTTTCTTCTCGCAAAATTAAGATAATAATTTCCCTTAATAAACAATTCTTTACGTAAAATACATTTGTCTCCATATTATATTATAGCAACAGTTTGATTTACGGGTTGACCCACGGGTTGATCAATTCGGGTGACCATAACTGCAACCCGGATATTCATCCCACTCGCGGGTGATCCGAATGATAACCACCCGGGTTCGGCCTCTATTCCAAAATACATTTCTTAAACATAAAACTTATTTATTTCTTAATAATTCAAAATATTACATTTATAATCTTTGTTAAATAATAATTTGTAGCTAGAACTCAGAAAGATGTATGTAAAGTTTACCAACAAAACAGAACTAAATATAAAAATATAAATTTATGTTGCATGTTTGAAAAGATATCTTAAAGAATGAGTAAATAATATTTAGGTATACCAAAAGAAATGTGCATAATATCATATGAAAATTTAGTCAAAAAAAGATTTTTGCGCATATTCAAGGTCTTTCAAGTTAAATCGCTACCAAAATAATTTTAAGCTTATGAAAATGTCGAAAATTTAGGTAATAAAATAGAAATAATCGAGATTATTTATTTAACAAGAAACAATGAGGATCCAAGATGGAATTCAATGTGTTTATACCTGGTTCATTGAAATGATAGTGATCTGAATCGGTAAAATTTCGATCATTTTGACTTTCGGTTATGAAGGCTGATATCGCTTGAGAATAATTAAAGAATGAATAATTATTTGGATCCATGATTGTCGAAGGATCACTAATTTGATTGTTAATCTCATGCAGATTAGTTTCAAAAATTTGCGAATACTGATTGTAAACTATCAGTGAATGATTTTCACGATTATCAAAATTGATCGAGTTGAGGTAGTTATTATCATTCAATGGATTATTATTTTCAGTGGTATTGGAATTATTGCGATTTTCATTATGATTATCGTTATCGATATCTGTATTCGAATTTTGGTCTGAATTTACAAGTTCTGATACTGGAAAGACAGAAAATCCGAAATTATCAATTTGGGTATCATTGAATTCTTGTAGTCGTCTGATCGGAAGATCATCTTCGCCGCCGGTATTTAACTCATCATCATGCATCGAATTATTGTCGGATGATTCATTTATCATTTCTTTTAGTAGTTTATTTGCGTCATAAGAAATAATCGAATATTGTGCCTTCACCCATTCAGGTTCTTCTTTCCATTTCTTAGAGATGGTTGAAGAAATTTGCTTCATGGAAGGATAGTGTCCTTGTGCGTTTAATTCTTTTACAAATGCCTTACGATAACAAAGAAAGCAATTAGGTCCTTTCTTTTGTATCTTTCCGTTTCTTTTCCGTTTTATAATCTCGTTTGCTTTGATTTTTGGAGGAAAGGGAACATTAAATGATTCAAATGGTAATTTTTGAGGGTTCATGTTAATTACGTTAATTCGTGACACGATGTCTTTAAGGGTTATGATCGAATTCAAATGATTGTTTTAATTATTTTTTTGATTCAAGGATAGAAGAGTAGCTAAACTTCTAATTAAAGATATGATGAAACAAAACACTCTTGGTTCTTTTTTATAACTTTTTTTTAGTGTGTGATAAAACATCTTTGATCATGAGATGAAAGACTTATAATCCATCTATTTGCAACGAACTGATTCATTTGCAAAACGTCAAATTAAAAACTCAAAGTTTTTGCATACAACGTAAAAGGTGAACAAGCGAGCAGAAACCTTATTTTTTTACGTTAGATTCATATAGTCGTTTAATTAAAAACTTTTTTCTTAATGTGTCTTCGTGTATTGCAGCAATTTGCATTTCATAATTCGTTAGAAATACCGTGCGAAAGTGTCTTTGAGCATTTAATTCAAAATCGTGCGTTCACCAATCATATTGGCGGGATTTGATTCCACAACTGATTAACTCCAGCAAAAGATTACCAAATTTGAATAATTTCTTCTAATGAACTTTGGTTTAAAATATCTTTGTATATTGCATAAAAGTTGGTTTGCATACACCACACGGATGTTTTTGTAATAAGATTACGGCTGACATTAATCCAAAAAAAGAATAAATTTAAAAATAATGGACAACGCTTTTTCGTATGGTAGCACTGGTCGTTGTCAGTATACAAACGATTTTATGGTATGCGATCTGTGCTACCATACGAAAAGAATCAAACCTGTAACGTTATCCCATATTTTTATATATCCCCAGAAAACACATCTGTGCATTGCATGCGACAGTTGTCCAGGTGATCAACATGATTCTCACAATGAACTCTTAATATTTATCGCTACACATACCGATACATGTACATCTATTCTATATTCTATTTGTACTGCTTTTAGAATTCACTTTCATGTGAATACGTATATATAAATATTTTTAAGAACTACATGTAAATAGAAATTTTAAGTGGAAAGGTTTTGATAGTTTAAGTATTTTTCTGACCTATGACTTGAAAATTTGTATTTCCAATGCTATTTTACATTTAATTATCGTACTTAACCACACTTATTAATAATGCTGCCTTTGCCGTTCTTTAACATTCGCGAATGCATATTTTTCGTTTAATAAGTCCAAAATAGGCATAGTGGCCGTTTAAGTAAAAATATTTCGAAAAGCTATTTGTCAATTTTCATCTCGTTTATTAAAAAGTTTTTAAATACAAAGTATACTTCAAACCGCGACCAATTATATCATCTGATATTTAAAAACTTGAATTTTAAATTAATTCCGAGTTTTTTTATTTATGCGAGTCTGTGGTGTAACACAACATATGATTGGTACATTTTATCGATCAAAATTCTATAATCATGGTCCTGGTGGTTCTCAACTTAGTTTGGCTAGTAAACATTTTGTTTTTATCCTATTAACCCAAATAATTTACACCATTTCGTGAACGACAGAATTAAAATTTGCTTCATTGGATTCATTGAACTAGAATTATCCGCGCGTTTTGTAGTTTTTTCATAGTGTTTATCATGATTCAAGATTTACAGCGTACCAATTGTACGGTGCCGCACTTTGTGTAATCTATTTACATGTATAAACCGACCCAGTACATGAACATATCGGATGAATGTAATGCCAATTATTAAAAAAAAATATTTTCTACTCTAACGACGGGTAGATGACAGACAATGCTTTTTAATTTTTAGCTATTTTGGTAGTTTCGCATTTTCTCTCATATTAAATTGTCATCGATACACATAGTACATGTACAAAGGTTCAGTTAACCATTAACGTGGCCTCGTAATTGTAATTAAAAAATATGCTTTAGTCTCATAACTTCTCCAAAGAAAAAAAATCCCTTAAATAAAATTTTA